TTTTGCAGAGAACACCTTTCTGCGTAGGCGGCCTTCGGCCGCACTTAGGGATTATAACCCTCAGGCAGTAGAATTCTCCTTTCTGTTTTGCGAAGAAAAGGAGCTGAACACCTTTCTGCGTAGGCGGCCTTCGGCCGCACTTAGGGATTATAACCCTCAGGCAGTAGAATTCTCCTTTCTGTTTTGCGAAGAAAAGGAGCTGAACACCTTTTGCAGAGAACACCTTTCTGCGTAGGCGGCCTTCGGCCGCACTTAGGAATTATAACCCTCAGGCAATAGAATTCTCCTTTCTGTTTTGCGGAGAAGGAGCTGAACATTTTCTTTTGTATTGATTTCCCCTGTATTCCTTTTTAATCATTGCCTTCTTTGTATGTATTGTTTTGAACAATATGGCAACACATGTTATGTGTCAGTTTGCAACCATGTGTTATTGTAAATATGCGTGAAATTCAATGTAATTTACAAGTCGATAAAAGTTTAATTAAAGTGATTTATATACAAGATAAAATAAAAGAAAAGTGTGTAAAGTATTAAGTACAGTGTTATGTGCATTTATATATATAAAAGTATGCACAAATGCTTTTTTGTTAAGGAAACCAGGTGGAACGACTTAAGAAATTTTAACAACAAATAACTTATAAACAATGATATTATTTATATTTTTTAGTTATACATGTTTTAGAGGATACCTCCCTTAACATCCTGACCAAGTTTCATTTGTTAATTCCACCTGGTTTTCTTAAAACAAGGTGCGGCTGACTACTAAAGCCCACCCATTTATTCAAATGAAACACCTTTTGCTACAACTTCTACCAGCAATATTGCGCATCAAAAAACTCCGATGCCGACCACTCAACAAACCCATGCAGTATATCTAACTTCGATGTCCCCAATATCACTTTTTACACAAAATCTCTTAAAAAATAATGAATATTTCAGTAAAGAACATGATAATACTGAAATTTTCAAAAGTAATATACCTGACATATAAAAAAAACCTTATTTCAAGACTAATTATTTCTCGCTTCTGTAAACTTCAGTTTACAAAAAGTAGAGAACTTTTCCAGTCTTTACGCCATGAACTTAAGTATTCTACACTGGAATATGAAAGGTTTCTTTAACAATTTCACAGAACTGCAGATGCTTATAAGGCAACACAACGCACTTCAAGAAACCCATTGTTGTCACAGCCACACCCCATCTCTACCAAATAATTATTCCAAATATTTTACAAACGCCACAGCAAACAACATCAAAACAAGGTGTTGGTTTATTATATAAAAAACCACATCCCTCATAAACAAGTTGACATAAACTCCCCTCTACAAGTAGTTCTGATTGAGGTAGAACTTAGCATTAAATTTACACTAGCGTCTATTTATATCCCACCCTCCCAAAGATTTTGCAGCATCGATCTAACCGATAGTTTTGATTCCGTTAACACCCCATTAATAGTAATAGGCGACTTTCACGGGTGGAGTAACATATGGGCTCCAACTCCACCAATCACAGGGGACTCACTATCGAAAATGCTATCAGACTGTCTGATCTATGCGTTCTGAACGATGGTAGCCCGACTCACTTCTCAACTCACTCTTCTTTTACCCACGTTGATATCTCCTTTTGCTCACCACCTTTATATCCACTTATAAAATGGCAAATACTTAACGATCTTCACAATAGCGGCCACTTTACGATTATTTTAAAATTCTCATTGAACCCCAACATTTCCCACCGCACAAAGGCCCCACCTAAGTTCCTCTTAGATCATGCCGACTGGATTAACTATGCAAATCAAGTCGACCTCGAAATGGAAGCTCGTTCCCTATCAAACTCCCCAAATCAAGAAGCAGCTAATGTTGCCAAAGCTATCCGAGCAGCAGCAAACCGTTGCATTCCACAGGCATCCCACCGTCCAAAAACCCATGCTCCCTGGTGGAATAAAATGCTTTCAAATCTCCGAAGAGAAAAAATGCAAGCTTGGTATAATTTCAAAAGTAACCCAACGCCAACAAATCTTATTAATTTCAAAAAGCGCAATGCTATCTTCCGTAAAGAAATGAAAGCTCAAAAAAGGCTTAGCTTCCAGCAGTTTACGGAATCTGTCTCCCCCAACTCTTCTGTTTCCGATATATGGAATAGAATCAACAGAGAGATCCATACAAACCGGTCCTTGCTATAAACACCAATAACTACATCTCTTCGGACCCACCAGTAATTTCAAATCATTTTGCCTCAGTGTGGTCTAATCACTCTGATGCTACCAATTTCCCTAATTAGTTTAGAAGTGAAAAATTGTATGCCCTAAACCATCTAACACCTCTTGGCGAAATACACCCGAAAGCAAAGCTTATCGAAAAAGTAATCACTGCGACAGAATTAACGATGTGCTTCGCAATTGCGAAAGGAAAAACTCCGGGTTTTGGCCGCATTTCTTACAAGATGTTAAAAGAAATGTCCAATTTTGGAAAATCTCGATTGCTATGTCTCTATAACTATATTTGATACCGGTATCATACCACAAAACTGGAAAGTCGCCACTGTAGTCCCTATCCCTAAGGCAAATAAAAATCCCCTTTCAACTGACGGATACCGTCCTATTTCTCTTCTCTCTTGCTTATCAAAAGTGTTATAACGGATAATAGCAAATCGTATTGCATGGTTCACTGAGTCGCAGTAACCAAATAGCCTTCAGACTTAACAGAGGCTGTACAGACGTCCTCCTTCACATAGACTTATATGTGACAAAAGCTCTCTCAGCCCGCAATCACGTCTCCATGCTGTGAGGACTAAATGTCCCCAGAGAATTTAGCCCACACAAACTCTCGCACCACCAACCAAACCAGTCACACAACAACGTAAATCAGAGCAGCCAGCCGCGCAATAAACCACAGCAACACAAGTCAGCGCAACTGGCCACGCTGCAAACCACGGCAACACAAGTTATAGCAATACTCGACAACCTCTTCGTTGCCATGACAACGCAACATCACACAGCAACATGTAGCTGCGCGACCAACATCAAGCACACGCAGCACTCAAACTAAAGCAAATAAGCAAATGGATGTATAGAATTGACAACAACAACCACGCTGTCGAGTTTAAATAGCGGCAAATCAGCTGGACTTGATAGTACTTGGTTGAATAAGGAAAATGAATTAGCAACAAGAGTTTCCGGGATGTACATAGCTCAGTGGTTAACGCTTCTGACTTTGAACATCGCTTACGCAGGTTCGATGCCTGCTGAAGTCTAGAAAAAAGAAGTCTGATGAGGAGATGTGGTGATCTCCGAAATAACTGCTGTAACTTCTACCGCTTAGACTTTGTTGCTTTTTTCAATTTTTCCTAATAAAACTATCGTGGTACAAAGCTCAATAAAAATATTAAAAAAATAAAATGTTAATAAGCCACAATAACATTGACAAATACATAGTTGAGGAAGAGCCTCTTTGAAACTATACAAAGAGTCAAATAAGCAAATGGATGTATATAATTGACAACAACCA